TTGTGTCTATAGTAACTGTTGGAGGTGGTCGTTGTGTCTATAGTAACTGTTGGAGGTGGTCGTTGTGTCTATAGTGACTGTTGGAGGTGGTCGTTGTGTCTATAGTGACTGTTGGAGGTGGTCGTTGTGTCTATAGTAACTGTTGGAGGTGGTCGTTGTGTCTATAGTAACTGTTGGAGGTGGTCGTTGTGTCAATAGTGACTGTTGGAGGTGGTCGTTGTGTCTATAGTAACTGTTGGAGGTGGTCGTTGTGTCTATAGTGACTGTTGGAGGTGGTCATTGTGTCTATAGTGACTGTTGGAGGTGGTCGTTGTGTCTATAGTAACTGTTGGAGGTGGTCATTGTGTCTATAGTGACTGTTGGAGGTGGTCGTTGTGTCTATAGTAACTGTTGGAGGTGGTCGTTGTGTCTATAGTGACTGTTGGAGGTGGTCGTTGTGTCTATAGTGACTGTTGGAGGTGGTCGTTGTGTCTATAGTAACTGTTGGAGGTGGTCGTTGTGTCTATAGTGACTGTTGGAGGTGGTCATTGTGTCTATAGTGACTGTTGGAGGTGGTCGTTGTGTCTATAGTAACTGTTGGAGGTGGTCATTGTCTATAGTGACTGTTGGAGGTGGTCATTGTGTCTATAGTGACTGTTGGAGGTGGTCGTTGTGTCTATAGTAACTGTTGGAGGTGGTCATTGTCTATAGTGACTGTTGGAGGTGGTCGTTGTGTCTATAGTGACTGTTGGAGGTGGTCGTTGTGTCTATAGTAACTGTTGGAGGTGGTCATTGTGTCTATAGTGACTGTTGGAGGTGGTCGTTGTGTCTATAATGACTGTTGGAGGTGGTCGTTGTGTCTATAGTGACTGTTGGAGGTGGTCGTTGTGTCTATAGTGACTGTTGGAGGTGGTCATTGTGTCTATAGTGACTGTTGGAGGTGGTCGTTGTGTCTATAGTAACTGTTGGAGGTGGTCATTGTCTATAGTGACTGTTGGAGGTGGTCGTTGTGTCTATAGTGACTGTTGGAGGTGGTCGTTGTGTCTATAGTAACTGTTGGAGGTGGTCATTGTGTCTATAATGACTGTTGGAGGTGGTCGTTGTGTCTATAATGACTGTTGGAGGTGGTCGTTGTGTCTATAGTGACTGTTGGAGGGGGTCGTTGTGTCTATAGTGACTGTTGGAGGTGGTCGTTGTGTCTATAGTGACTGTTGGAGGTGGTCGTTGTGTCTATAGTGACTGTTGGAGGTGGTCGTTGTGTCTATAGTGACTGTTGGAGGTGGTCGTTGTGTCTATAGTGACTGTTGGAGGTGGTCGTTGTGTCTATAGTGACTGTTGGAGGTGGTCATTGTGGCTATAGTGACTGTTGGAGGTGGTCGTTGTGTCTATAGTGACTGTTGGAGGTGGTCGTTGTGTCTATAATGACTGTTGGAGGTGGTCGTTGTGTCTATAGTGACTGTTGGAGGTGGTCATTGTGTCTATAGTGACTGTTGGAGGTGGTCGTTGTGTCTATAGTGACTGTTGGAGGTGGTCGTTGTGTCTATAATGACTGTTGGAGGTGGTCGTTGTGTCTATAGTGACTGTTGGAGGTGGTCATTGTGGCTATAGTGACTGTTGGAGGTGGTCATTGTGGCTATAGTGACTGTTGGAGGTGGTCGTTGTGTCTATAGTGACTGTTGGAGGTGGTCGTTGTGTCTATAATGACTGTTGGAGGTGGTCGTTGTGTCTATAGTGACTGTTGGAGGTGGTCGTTGTGTCTATAGTGACTGTTGGAGGTGGTCATTGTGGCTATAGTGACTGTTGGAGGTGGTCATTGTGGCTATAGTGACTGTTGGAGGTAAGACACACACGATAAATGTGTATTATGAACCGTTTTCAGAACTTTGACCATATGTTGTCGCCAATGAGTGTTCCGTCTCCCTTCGTCACGGGCTCAGTGCTTGAAGTGGCTTTGTTGTGACGTTGGCTCAGGACAACAATATTGTGGGTGTATTTTAATATCCCTAATGGTTTTTTTGTTGTCCCTCTCGGGGCTCTGCGTGAGGCCTTCAATTTCAGCTAAATATTTTCTATTACACTAGCCAGCATTTATTTTAGTTTTCGGGAGAGTGAGGGAAGTGTGTGAGAGTTCGGTGTGTGGTGTGGTGTAGTATACTGAGGATGGGTTGTGTCTGCAGTGTGTGGTGTGATGTGTGGCGTGGTGCAGTGTGTGGTTTGGTGTAGTGAGGATGAGTTGTGTCTGCAGTGTGTGGTGTGGCGTGGTGCAGTTCGTTGTTAACTTCATCTTCGTTCTGGCAGTTCCTGCGACGGTACTGGAACCAAGCATATTGGCGTTCGCCTCCTCATTGGAACATTTTAGCATCGTAGAGAGGGGGAGACCTGCTGCATGGGTAACAGCTTCTCCTCCATATCGACCTACCCTGACTTTGCGCCCTGGAGAAGACAGTCCAGCCTCGACAACCAGAGTGCAACTCCATAGCCTCCTTAAACTGCAGGATGCCTACTAATGATCACTGTGGTTGTCACACAATGATTGTGATGGTAGTATTAATAAGAGATTGTCACACTCACGGATCATGTTAGTGGCGGTGATGGAAAGTTGTGATAATAACAGCAACAGCCATATTAACAAAATATATTATTTGAAGGAGCAAATATGTCAGATGTCACTTGGAGGCGGGAGAAGGAGTGCATCGTGCCGGAGTACTCTCTCATGCTGCCACTCGTCCTACTATTACAACGACGCATTTTGACGTATAATCTTCTTAAGGCCAAAAATCGTCTTATTAGAAAATGGAAGCGGCTCGTGATACTGACATACTGTCCTGTTTTCTGTTTTGGGTCCTCTGGTAGGTTAGGATAAGGGCACGTTAGTGCGACAGTTTCTGGACGTTGGGATACTTTAGGAGGCCGGGCTGCACGCCGCCATCAGTGTCGTCTGTCTCTGTGTGCGCTGTTTACGTCTCGTGACGCAGCCTCATAAAATGATAATATAATAAGAATTTAAGTTCATGGACTTGGTAAATAATATGGCGTCGATAGGCATGATTATATTTTTTACATTAACGTCTTGAAGCATGTATTTATAGTCATGGTGATTAACCCTTAATGATAACTAAGCAATTCTGTGCTTTTGACCCCCCCACACTGCCAGTCTCTTCCCAAGATTGTTAAATTATTGTTCTTCAAGTGCCGTATACCACCATATATTACGCCCTCTAGAACAGTTTAATACACAAAAAATAAAATACATATTAATTGTATTTTCGTTTGAATACAATTATTATTTGAGTCATAAGTTTGAGTCATAAAAGGTGAAAAAATTAAATATAAATGGTGACATAAATGTAACCAATTATATTTAATTGTGACCACTTAAATGTAAGTGGGTGACACTTAGATATAAGGTATAAGAACCATTGGTAATATAATGATTGGGTTTGGGTGAAGGGTACTCCGTGCCCAGGAGGCGGCCACGACAGAGACCCGTGTCGGGGCTCAGGCAAGGTAAACTGACCCGGGGATTAATTTATCACGCCAGACTTGCAAGCTGGGCACAGTTTGTCCGCGTTACCGCCCACGCGCAAGTTTGAAAGAAAATATACCTAGCGAGGGTGAATTGAAGGGAAAGCGAGCGGAAGATTCGTAGAAAAGTTAACGAACACCCTATGATAAGGTATAAAAACCTTCAAGTTTATATACATCTTAAGAGTACACCATAAAGCCATATATTGAAATGAACAAAATAATACTTTAGGAACGAGGACAAGACACAAGTGGTAACACTGTAATATCCACCTTCAGATACTGTGTACTGTTACGGAGTTCAGCTCTATGTTAACCTATATCCCGCTTATAAGAGTCACATCACCCCTGATTTGTATATACCTTGAAGCATGTGGGAACAGAGTACACTTAAGGAGAGGCCTGAGATGTAGGCTGACGGCAAATATGATTTCGTTTGTTTGGACAGTGGCTCCAGGTTTTTTCTGCCAGGAAAAGATGGCGGAGGAGACACTTTGGAGGAAGAGTTTTGCCACCCAAGGGGGCGGGACTACAGTGCATTGTGGGAGCCGCGCCAGGCGACTGCTGATTGGTCAGTAGTGGGAGTGTGGCACTGTCGACCAATGGCGTGGCGCCCAGGAGGTGACGTTGCATATATATATACATATATACATATATATATATATATATATATATATATATATATATATATATATATATATATATATATATATATATATATTAGTATATTTTGGTAGCAGTCTTTCCTGTAGACATATATTATTAAATATGACCGAAAAAGTAAGATTAATAATTCTAACACGAATTTTCTCAATCTTTCGTACATTTCTTTTCACTCTCACTCTCACTTTCACTTTCTTTTCAAAGTTCTTCACCGATTGATTTTAAATTTTCACACAACGTTCTATTCGCATCCGAGAGTGTTTTTATATACATAATATATAGATGTCACGTCTGTGACGGGGAAAAACGTGCTTTTTTGAAAACTGTGTTTTTCATGTGTTTTTCATGAGAGGGAAATCTTCGAAACCTCTTTACCGATTGCTTTGAAATTTTGACACAACGTTGCCTTCGAAAAGGCGCGTGTTTTTATATACCTACTATATACATGCCTCAACTGTGATAGGAAAAAACATGCTTTTTTGAAAAACAGCGCCATCTGTTGGACGTAAGAGCAACACACGCTGTAATCTCCGAAATTATAGCTGTACTATAGTGCACTATAGTACAAACATTGACGTACTAAACAATTAGATAGTTGAATTTGGTACTATTCCCTTTATAAGAGTCCCCCAAAAGTAAAGCTAAGAACAATGAGAAATATTCCTAAAGCCTAAAGCTAGTATAACACTCATATGTACTATATTAGGCCTCACATTTATATTTATTTATGTAATGACTATAAAACTAAAAATAAGTGTTCGGGGAGACCATAGAAACTGAAGATTCTGCACAGCAGCTGAGAGAGACATGTGTAGGGTATTAAAGGTACTCACCGAGGAGCTTGGAGAGCCAGTCCGCCAGGTCCTCCTTGAGGGGCAGGAGCTGGCGCTCGTGGGCCTCGGCAATCTTAGCGTTGAGGAGCGACATGTACTCCGACTCCGTCTTGGGGTACTCGTCGTCCTCCAGCTCCAGGCAGAAGGAAGGCTCTCTGAGGACAAGGACGAGGTGCTCAGTCACCTGCACTCCGCCTCCAGTAGTGCAAGGTTATGGTGTACTGTGGTGCAGGGTTATGGTGTACTGTGGTGGTGTACTGTGGTGCAGGGTTATGGTGTACTGTGGTGCAAGGTTATGGTGTACTGTGGTGGTGTACTGTGGTGCAAGGTTATGGTGTACTGTGGTGGTGTACTGTGGTGCAGGGTTATGGTGTACTGTGGTGGTGTACTGTGGTGCAGGGTTATGGTGTACTGTGGTGGTGTACTGTGGTGCAGGGTTATGGTGTACTGTGGTGGTGTACTGTGGTGCAGGGTTATGGTGTACTGTGGTGCAAGGTTATGGTGTACTGTGGTGCAAGGTTATGGTGTACTGTGGTGCAAGGTTATGATGTACTGTGGTGCAGGGTTATGGTGTACTGTGGTGCAAGGTTATGGTGTACTGTGGTGCAGGGTTATGGTGTACTGTGGTGCAGGGTTATGGTGTACTGTGGTGCAAGGTTATGGTGTACTGTGGTGCAGGGTTATGGTGTACTGTGGTGCAGGGTTATGGTGTACTGTGGTGCAGGGTTATGGTGTACTGTGGTGGTGTACTGTGGTGCAGGGTTATGGTGTACTGTGGTGCAGGGTTATGGTGTACTGTGGTGCAGGGTTATGGTGTACTGTGGTGCAGGGTTATGGTGTACTGTGGTGGTGTACTGTGGTGCAAGGTTATGGTGTACTGTGGTGCAGGGTTATGGTGTACTGTGGTGCAGGGTTATGGTGTACTGTGGTGCAAGGTTATGGTGTACTGTGGTGCAGGGTTATGGTGTACTGTGGTGCAGGGTTATGGTGTACTGTGGTGCAGGGTTATGGTGTACTGTGGTGCAAGGTTATGGTGTACTGTGGTGCAAGGTTATGGTGTACTGTGGTGCAGGGTTATGGTGTACGGTGGTGCAAGGGTATGGTGTACTGTGGTGCAGGGTTATGGTGTACTGTGGTGCAGGGTTATGGTGTACTGTGGTGCAAGGTTATGGTGTACTGTGGTGCAGGGTTATGGTGTACTGTGGTGCAGGGTTATGGTGTACTGTGGTGCAGGGTTATGGTGTACTGTGGTGCAAGGTTATGGTGTACTGTGGTGCACGGTTATGGTGTACTGTGGTGCAAGGTTATGGTGTACTGTGGTGCAAGGTTATGGTGTACTGTGGTGCAAGGTTATGGTGTACTGTGGTGGTGTACTGTGGTGCAGGGTTATGGTGTACTGTGGTGCAGGGTTATGGTGTACTGTGGTGCAGGGTTATGGTGTACTGTGGTGGTGTACTGTGGTGCAGGGTTATGGTGTACTGTGGTGCAGGGTTATGGTGTACTGTGGTGGTGTACTGTGGTGCAAGGTTATGGTGTACTGTGGTGCAGGGTTATGGTGTACTGTGGTGGTGTACTGTGGTGCAGGGTTATGGTGTACTGTGGTGCAAGGTTATGGTGTACTGTGGTGCAAGGTTATGGTGTACTGTGGTGCAGGGTTATGGTGTACTGTGGTGCAAGGTTATGGTGTACTGTGGTGCAAGGTTATGGTGTACTGTGGTGCAAGGTTATGGTGTACTGTGGTGGTGTACTGTGGTGCAGGGTTATGGTGTACTGTGGTGGTGTACTGTGGTGGTGTACTGTGGTGCAGGGTTATGGTGTACTGTGGTGCAAGGTTATGGTGTACTGTGGTGGTGTACTGTGGTGCAAGGTTATGGTGTACTGTGGTGGTGTACTGTGGTGCAAGGTTATGGTGTACTGTGGTGCAGGGTTATGGTGTACTGTGGTGCAGGGTTATGGTGTACTGTGGTGCAGGGTTATGGTGTACTGTGGTGCAGGGTTATGGTGTACTGTGGTGCAGGGTTATGGTGTACTGTGGTGCAAGGTTATGGTGTACTGTGGTGCAGGGTTATGGTGTACTGTGGTGCAAGGTTATGGTGTACTGTGGTGCAGGGTTATGGTGTACTGTGGTGCAGGGTTATGGTGTACTGTGGTGGTGTACTGTGGTGCAGGGTTATGGTGTACTGTGGTGCAGGGTTATGGTGTACTGTGGTGCAGGGTTATGGTGTACTGTGGTGCAGGGTTATGGTGTACTGTGGTGGTGTACTGTGGTGCAAGGTTATGGTGTACTGTGGTGCAGGGTTATGGTGTACTGTGGTGCAAGGTTAAGGTGTACTGTGGTGCAGGGTTATGGTGTACTGTGGTGCAGGGTTATGGTGTACTGTGGTGCAGGGTTATGGTGTACTGTGGTGCAAGGTTATGGTGTACTGTGGTGCAGGGTTATGGTGTACTGTGGTGCAGGGTTATGGTGTACTGTGGTGCAGGGTTATGGTGTACTGTGGTGCAGGGTTATGGTGTACTGTGGTGGTGTACTGTGGTGCAGGGTTATGGTGTACTGTGGTGCAGGGTTATGGTGTACTGTGGTGCAGGGTTATGGTGTACTGTGGTGGTGTACTGTGGTGCAAGGTTATGGTGTACTGTGGTGCAGGGTTATGGTGTACTGTGGTGCAGGGTTATGGTGTACTGTGGTGCAAGGTTATGGTGTACTGTGGTGCAAGGTTATGGTGTACTGTGGTGCAGGGTTATGGTGTACTGTGGTGCAGGGTTATGGTGTACTGTGGTGCAGGGTTATGGTGTACTGTGGTGCAGGGTTATGGTGTACTGTGGTGGTGTACTGTGGTGCAGGGTTATGGTGTACTGTGGTGCAAGGTTATGGTGTACTGTGGTGCAGGGTTATGGTGTACTGTGGTGCAAGGTTATGGTGTACTGTGGTGCAGGGTTATGGTGTACTGTGGTGCAAGGTTATGGTGTACTGTGGTGCACGGTTATGGTGTACTGTGGTGCAGGGTTATGGTGTACTGTGGTGCAAGGTTATGGTGTACTGTGGTGCAGGGTTATGGTGTACTGTGGTGCAGGGTTATGGTGTACTGTGGTGCAAGGTTATGGTGTACTGTGGTGCAAGGTTATGGTGTACTGTGGTGCAGGGTTATGGTGTACTGTGGTGCAGGGTTATGGTGTACTGTGGTGCAGGGTTATGGTGTACTGTGGTGCAAGGTTATGGTGTACTGTGGTGCAGGGTTATGGTGTACTGTGGTGCAGGGTTATGGTGTACTGTGGTGCAAGGTTATGGTGTACTGTGGTGGTGTACTGTGGTGCAGGGTTATGGTGTACTGTGGTGCAGGGTTATGGTGTACTGTGGTGCAGGGTTATGGTGTACTGTGGTGCAGGGTTATGGTGTACTGTGGTGCAGGGTTATGGTGTACTGTGGTGCAGGGTTATGGTGTACTGTGGTGCAGGGTTATGGTGTACTGTGGTGCAAGGTTATGGTGTACTGTGGTGCAGGGTTATGGTGTACTGTGGTGCAGGGTTATGGTGTACTGTGGTGCAGGGTTATGGTGTACTGTGGTGCAGGGTTATGGTGTACTGTGGTGCAAGGTTATGGTGTACTGTGGTGCAGGGTTATGGTGTATTGTGGTGCAGAGAGATGGTGTATTTATTTCAGGAATTTACTGACCAAAGATCACTATTTTTGGGGGTAAATACAATTTAAGCTTAATTAATGACAATCAAACATTTAGCATAAAGAGTTGAGAGTGAGGACGACACGAATATTAACCCATCTAATGTTGCCAGAATTAAAGGTTTGGATCATAGAGATACAACGAAGATAAAAGTGTTGTGTGTTGTGGTGAGGGCGCTCCTCCCCCCCTGCTGACCCCCTGTGGCCGGGGTGACAGCTCCTCCGTGATGACAAATACTATGGTGATGACATCACTCCCACCAGGACGTCATCAGTAACGTTAACCCAAACATTAGATCAGTTTGTATGATGTCTTCATGACGCTATATCACAGTCCACGGGTCCTGTACCAGCTTGACCGCTTGGTACGTCTGTTAAAGCTGGCGACTTTGAAGGAAGTGTTCGAGGACCCTAATGAAAACAGTTAGGCGCCCGGCAGGATGTCCCAGTGATGATGTAAAGTAACATGTGTCATAACTAAGGATAACTACAGCCTGGATTTAAATGTAGGTTTTCACGTAATCCAATCATGAGAGAATTTGCAAAAGGGATAACTGGCTAGTGGCGGCCAATACATCACATGTATTGATTACTACAGTAAGGCACGGGGGGATAATCACCCGGAGTCCGGTGCAATAGAGCAGTAATACATCACATATATTGGACAGTCTTCTCAACCTAACATATTGTTATAAATTGTGATTTATCCGTATTTATGAACCTAACTAAACAGGAACATAACCAGGTGCTCAGGACCAGGGCGCTCAGTAGCCTGCAGGACACACAAGGTTAGAGGGGCCAGATGCACAGGGCCAGGTGCTCAGGCCCAGGTGCACAGGACCAGGGACGCTCAGAAACCAGCTATTGGGGTTCCTCTCAGCGTCTTGACAGTGAAGAAAGTTTCCAAGTATTTACAGCAAGAAACTGAAGTATCTTAGTTAGTTCCCTCGTTAAATGTGAAGCAACTTAGGATTAGTTGTGGATGTGAGTGTGTAAGAGTGAGAGTAACGAGTGACGGTGCCAGTTTGGGAAGCTGACCTAAAGACGTGACAACGTTGAAACAACCTTTCTTAGTGTGGATGTTCCCCGTATGCTTGTAGTGAAGGTGTTTACAAAGGCGTCTCAGAGTGCTTGGACTTAAAGTTGTATACGCAAGCATTGATCAGGTTGAGTGAAGTTAGGTTTTAGCGTGAGGTAGTGGGCGATATGCTCCTGTGTCTGGTCAAACACGCTTGGTGTGGCGAGGCTGACCAAGCCTCGCCACACCAAGAACACGACGCGAGGCCGGACGGTTAGTACATGACGCGAGGCTGGACGGTTAGTACATGACGCGAGGCTGGACGGTTAGTACATGACGCGAGGCCGGACGGTTAGTACATGACGCGAGGCTGGACGGTTAGTACATGACGCGAGGCCGGACGGTTAGTACATGACGCGAGGCTGGACGGTTAGTACATGACGCGAGGCCGGACGGTTAGT